ACAGACAAACATACACACACACACTGACAGACATTTAGATACACACAGACACACGGACAGAGACATATACATACACACACACACTGACAGACATGGATACACACACACACACTGACAGACATAGATACACACACACACTGACAGACATATATACACACACACTGACAGACATAGATACACACACTGACAGACATAGATACACACACACAATGACAGACATACAGATACACACATACACAATGATAGACATACACAAAGACACACTAACAGACAGACATACACACACACTGACAGACATTTAGATACACACAGACACACGGACAGAGACATATACATACACACACACTGACAGACATGGATACACACACACTGACAGACATAGATACACACACACACTGACCATAGATACACACACAGACCAACAGGTTCAGGAGGGTGGCTTACCTGGGATCCAGAGTGCTGCCTGAGGTAGATGGGAGTTGGAGGAGCTGGTCCTGCCCAGCCCCCCTCCTCTCTGCCTTCTGCTGCTCTAGTCTTCTTGGGAGGACTTCCTCCCATGCTGATTAGAAGGGGGCCGGTGGTAGCTCCGCCCCTGCCTTGGCACCAGCCGCACTGTGTGCTACAGAGGGAGCAGGGATATGACGTTCATATCCCCGCCCCCTCCACACAGTCTGCGGCACTGCAGGTTGGCGCTCGGCCACGCTACAAGAAGTGACTGGCAGGAGAGGGGCGCTGTGTGCTTCCCTCCTGCCGGTCACCCGGACATTTGCGCCCCCGGGCCGGTGCGCCCTAAGGCGGCCGCCTGTGCCGCCTTATGGACGCACCGGCCCTGACCACAGCCTCAACCTCCTACTATACTACAGCCTCTGCACTCCAGCCCCTACCCCCTAAATGGGTTTTATACGTGTAATGCTGGCAATGGACATCATTTGTGAGTTCTTTACTTTGCCATGATGTCACTTTGCCATGATGTTATGGCAGATACAAAAAGCATGCATGATTAAATCATATGAAGCACAAACCGAGAACATCATGAAGGCATTTTACACTTGTAGACTGATATTGGTATAGAATCTGTCTGCCAGAAGGGAGCAAATACGATTTTTGTGCCAATTTTGCAACAAGTATTTACTAGTAATTAAACCTGGGATTTTATTGAATGCAAGTAAAAAGTGGCATGATAGCTACCTTTTAAATGTTATAAAAGACTTACACAGAATATACAAATATAAAAGAAGTACTGGTCAATTTGTTTTTCTCAAAATTGATACCAGAAAACATTTATTGGTCAGTTCACCAGGGAGATGTTCATTAAATGACAAAAAGTATGTGGATACCCCTACTAGATCTGCCATAGTCAACTGTAAGTGCTATTATTGCTGTTATCTGTTGCTTCACTCATTACAGAGTCTATACTGCCTTTGAAACAATATCAGCACAAGAACCTTCCATCGTTGGGTATTCGTACACAAGTTTCACATCAACAGGTGTCAACTAGAAAGTTATTATTTTTTTTTTTTTAAAAACACACCACTGAATTAGAGAGAATTGGAAAGTTGGTACCTGAAATTATGTTTTGTGTTTCACTCTCTGGCAATCTGATGGAAGAACTGGGTGTGGTGGATGCCAAGAGAAAGCAACCTACCCTTTTTAAGAGATTGACTTTAGTTTTAGTGAAGAGCCATCTAAATCTTACAGATTATAAAGCCATTTTTAGACAGTTGGGTGTTTCCAATTTTATGACAACAGTTTAGAGAAGATCCGTTCCTATTCCAACACGATTGTGCCTCAAAGTGAGATCCATGAATACATGGTTTAATGAGTTTGGTGTGGAGGAATGCAGGAGGCCTGCACAGAGCACTGACCACTCAATTCCGTTGGGATTAAATGTAATGTTTGTTGCGAACCAGACCTTCTCGTTCAGTATCAGTGCTTGAACTTGTTATGCATGATTTCATTCAATATCTACCCCTTGTTATTATTTTATTAAAACATGAATACGCATAAGGTCATGTAATATCTGCACAAATCAATTAAAAAAAAAATAAAGTACAATAAACAAGTATGTGTTAGAAGAATGAACAAAACTCAATTCATCTAACATAAAAAGTATTAAATAAGTCTGCGAAAGGAAATACAAAGCTTTTATATATATTTAACTTCTAAGTGAAAGAGAATTGAGAATAAGACTTCAGAGGCATACGCTATATATAAAATGTGCTTTGTTAAGCTGAAGTTGGTTTGGTTACTATAGTGTCTCGTTAAGAGCAACTAATAGATACATTTTAGGTAGCAATGAAAACATGATTTCCCTTTCACACAATTGCTCTTTTCAAAACCAGGACAAAATTATTATAAGCATATTCTAAGTGACTGATGTCCCTACCACCTTACAGGCAGATGGGACTCTCTGTTAACTCCTAAAACACATCAGCAAGCTGAAGTTCTTTAGGTGTTTGGAGTGTTCCCTCTAAGTGTAACATTTAAATTAGGTATTAGGAGTTGTAATGGCACCCCGGGCATAAAAGGGGTTAAAGCCGTTTAGGAGATATTCCCTTTCCAGATGCAAAGGCGGCTACTGAATACACGAATCCGCCGAACAGGAAAAACCATACGAAAGGTTTACACTCCAAACTGCCGAACAGGAAAACCCATACGAAAAGTTTACACTCCAAACACCTAAGGAAATCTATACAAATAATTCCCCCCAAGTACGAGACGAGGCTCTGTATTGAGGGTCAAGCAGGAATCTGTTTAATGGAAGCAAGCACTTATACAATTCCCCAGGCCAGAGGCACACCTCCAGGACCTGATGGTACACAGGCATACAAAGGACACAAACCAATCAAAACAATACAACAATGTCTGACACTCTCATTCATTACAGCAAAATCCTCCCCTCTGCCTGTGATATAATTACTGAACACAATGGGCTAAAGTAATTATCACAGCCAGGAAAATACACAGTTTTACCCAATATATCATACTGAACAGAACCCCCACATTCAACATATTCCCAGATAGCTTGGATCTGAGTGCTCAATATATCCGAACAGCACCCACATCCCACAAACACAGTCAAATCGCCATGGGGTTTAAGTTTAGCAAGGGCTGATATAGAGTATAAACTGGTCTGGCAGTGTCCCTGGGACAACTACCCTGCTGGAGAACAATGGGACAGGAGAAGGCACATTCTCCCATGAAATCAAAGGTGCAGAATTGTGCCAGTTCCAATTAAAGGACCAGAACAGTCTTTTAAACACCAATAAGTCCAAATAGTGTTTTTAACTGGCAAAGTCTCCCAGGGGCCATAGTCACATGGCAAGAAGCCGACAATTAGTCTTCTCCAGTGCCCAGTGGTGAGGTTAGTTTCACCATAGGAGTGAACCACAGTGCTACCCATGCATGCAAAATACAACCATCATCACAACACAGAATAAAAGAATGAATGAAACATATGCTCATAAAAAATAACACATTCATTGAAAGTAATGTATTAAAAAAAGAAATGTATTATACATTTGTAAAAATATGATTCATGTCTCAGTAGCTTCATTTGTAAACTATTAACAATGCAGCAATCACAAGGCACAGTATAAATACAACCAACAGAAACAACAACAGAGCTTTCTGGTCACCCGACAGACACTAGGGATAGCACAGAACCTCTCTCCCACTCTGAGCAAAGTAAGGAGAACATAATTATATTAATGTGTGTCAGTGGATGGCAGCGAGTCTGTTAGTGTGTGTCTGTGGATATCTACTGTATGTATCAATGGATCTGTGATAGTTTGTATCAGCATGAGTGATAGTAAGGGTGTGAGTGATTGTGAGTGTGTCTATCTATGGATACTAGTTTGCATCTTTGTTTGTGTGCTAGCGTGTGACCGTAGTTCCTGATTTTTATATTAGGAAGGTATGTGACAAGTTATGCATGAATAATTTTGTTTGTATATTTATCTAACAAAATTATACCACCTAAGGCAAAGCAAATTATGAGATAATCCTGCAACCCACAGACTGCATAGTTTTGGACTTTTTTTACGTCTCAGGATAAAACTCATTTTCATTTATTTTCTTTACTTAACATGTTGTGCTAAGTTTCCCTGATAGATCAAAGAATGCAGCACTTCCATGCCAGTAATCAAGGCAACCAGAAATAGTTTTTTAAGCAAATTAGATATAATTGTTTGTGATCATGTCATCACAGTTTCACTTTAACTTATGCCATCACCTTCACCAATAAATATAAATTATACAGTATAATTAATTGTTTTAGGAAATGTTAAAGGGACAGAAAAACATATTTAATGCAGAAAAACATATTTAATGCATTTTATAGCTTTTAAGCTAAGCAGCCCACTGTGTGTTTTCCCTGCTAAACTGCTCAAAAAAAAGAAAGAAATCTATTGCGAATGTTTTGCAGGTAAGCCTGCCTATTGGCCACATCTCTCCATTTTATGACATTTCCTCCTTCCTACGGTTCATATGCAGCTCAGTCACTAACAGAATGGGTCACATTTTATTGCGCAGCTATCAAGAGGACATAAAGGCATATATGTCTAGGCATAAGTATATGTCTTTCTCTGTTTTATTGCCTCTCTGCATAAGTCCACTAAACACTTCTTTCATAGAAAGTGTGTTATGTGTAAGAGGTAAAGACCAGTTCCGTAGACCACCTTCTGGAAGTATGTAATCAGGACAGGGTTGGGCGGGCTTTGGAGGGTGACACCCAAAATGTGCCCACCATAATTGGGGCAGTTGAAAGTCTTGTAATTATAACTGACTGTTATGGTTTAATATATCACTCTGCCGCCCCTAGAGCTCCCCCTATCACCGACCCACCTCAGAGTGCAGCTCACACACATTGTAAGGATGCTAAAGACATTCAGGTAATCTCTAGGTCAGCCAGTAACAACCCAGACATGCTTGCACTGAACAACTTCCTGGCTTCCTGGAAGAGGCTTACAGTCATATGGTGCTAAAAAGTTAATTGTAAGTCTCTTTCATGAGACAATTACTATGTCAGTATGTCACACTGCCTGAGATGGAGTTTACCTGAATAAGCTTGGAAACCATCCAGGTCTATTCAGTATGTTAGGGGCAGATAAAACTCCATATATGCCTTAGTTCTGATTCTCACAGGCTTACTGTCCTAGCAAACTACAATAGTTCTGGTCTGGGGGTTGTTTCGGGTAGTGAATGGCTGTTTGAAGTTGTTAATGATTTCACAAGAAGTCTCTGGCTAGTTAATAAAGTTGGATCAGATAAAAAAATTTTTTTAACTAAAAAGTATGCATAATTAAGTTCTGCAAACATGGTATTCTCTTTTTAACATTTATACAACATATACATTTCTTAATTTTAACCTGGGGTGTTCTTTAATTAAATACCAATATCCTCTCCAGTGCGACTAATGCCACCATGATCCTGTTCTAATCTACCCCCCTGGCCTTCCCAGGCAGGGAGATTGAGTCTCCAAATGCTGCTAGATTCAATGTCAGATACATTTCATAGAAAATGGTATGCACTATTGTAGCACAGCAAAAGTCACAGTCATTAGGGGAATAATCACACTATGTGCTTGTATGATGGTTCTCCTGCTCTTCCCTGTCAGTCAATTCTATGTTTAGAGAACAAACTTTTATATGCTGTGAATTGATTGACAGGTGAGAGACCAAATTGTATTAAAAAAAATCTATTTGTTTTCTAGTAGCTCTGCTAGTTAAATCTTTAGATTAAAATTATATTTTTTTATCTTCAACTTAACATATGTGATTGTTCCATGACAGATAAACTTTTAAGAAGGAAGGCAGGAAATTGTGACTTCTTCTAAAAGTTCTTGTGTGGCAAATATATTCTTATTATATGCTTGTTTTGTAAACTTTGCATGGGTAAGCTTGCAAATTATTGGAAAATGTTATTCAAATGATGAATTAAACTGTCTTCTGGAATCAGGATTTGTTAAAAAAAAAAAATTCTAGAGAGTAATAAACAATTGTTTGAAGTTCTGAATGTGTGTTATTTTCATTTTATCCTGCCAAACTGACAACATTTATATTTATGGTATGTGAGAGGTAGGTGAAAAATTAAGCTTTTTTGGCCTTCTATTAAATAAATAAGTTTAAAAATCTACGGAAACCTGAATTTTATGGATTGATGCGTTTTCTTAACCTTGCAAATTATGTAAAATCTTAAATACATTTATACATGTTATAAAACATATTGTCAGAAGAGATGATTATGTTTTTGCTGTAACATAAATTTACAAAAAAAATGCAATATATCAGGTAGATAGCATAAAGATGTGCCACAGGTAAAATGTGATTAACAGATAAAGAACACATTTTTTTCTAAAGATGATCATCGAGATATCAATTAATTTGATTCTGTTGCCAGTGGCTAAAGAACTACCAGAATTGTTTCTGAATAAATAGTGTACAGATGTAATAGTGTTTTTATACCTATGTTCTTTTAAATGTAATATTCTTGTTCAACTGTATATTTCTCCGTGTCCATGGCAACAGACACATAGTGCGCTTGGCAATTTTCAGCATTATTTACTAAACAAATACTAACATATGCAGAGTTGTGGTGCCTTATTAAAAGGTCACTCTGGATACCCATACAACATTCATACAAATTAGAGAAATAGGTCATCTATTTTTCTTGCTTAATATGCATAATAACATAGTTCAACAAAAATAAATACATGCTGCGAGGTTTGGATTGCTGAAAGCCTAACAATCATGGTATTTATGGTTATTTACAATATGGAGAACATTGATGGTACGTGCATGCACGGTACTAATGCAACATTATTCATTGAAGTTAATAGCAGCACTAGCCCAAGTTATAGGAAATCATTGCAATCTTAACATGTGAGTGTAATAATATATACATTATATAATATGTGAGCACTTATACATACGTATATTACCAAATGGTTCACATGCACACGCATACGATGTGAGACATGTGGATGCCCAGTGTTAAATTATTCAGCCTATGTGTGGCTTCAGAAAAGGACCAGTATCTTGATAATTTGCCTACAATACAGGGAGCTTCAAATCTATTATTTTTCTAATTGTTATTATTTATTTAAAATCAAAAAGAAGATTTTGCCACAAAAGGGTAAAAAACATTTTTTAAAAAGTTTCAAAAAGTGTTTTCACAGTAAAGAATATTGTGGAGTACTGCAGCAGACTGTGAGGTAGGATGAGTGAAAACTATTTTCATTGAAAGGGACTTCATATTTCATTCTGACTAATTAATCCATGGCCAACATTAAAAGTAATTAAGCTAATTGTTCTGTAAAGTGTGTAAGCATGTGTATGTGTGTGTGCGTGAGGGGGGGAGGGAACTATAGTAACAAATTCACACTTTATGATTTATTTGTGGTTTGACTTGAAATGACACAACAAGCTTATTAATTCACACATGTTATCATAAGAGGAGTAAGCTATTTAAGGGAAACCTGCCCATGATGTCTCAATACAAACAGAAAAAAAATACTGGGGGTGTATCACAAAAGCAAACCATCAGAAATTGTTGAGAATAAGCAAAATGTGTGAATAATTACAAATATTCTTGTGCTAATGCATGACTTCTAAAATTGAAATGGGCACTCCAAGCACCATAACCACTATAACTCACTGTAGTGGTTTTGGTGCCAGGAGTGCAGTGGAAGCCACTTTTGTAAGGAGTAAAACCATTTTTGAATGGTTTAATTTCTTATCTGGGGTGTGCTTGGCACTGCTCCACACCTTCACTACCTCACTAGGAACTTTTATTAAAGGACCACTATAGTGCCAGGAAAACATACTCGTTTTCCTGGCACTATAGTTAAACTCACCTCTTTCTCCAGCGCCGGTCGGGGAGCTCTCCTGCTTCTCTCCGCCTCCTCTCCTCCTCTTTGGCTGAATGCGCGTGCGCGGCAGGAGCTGCGCGAGCATTTAGCCAGTCCATAGGAAAGCATTTACAATGCTTTCCTTTGGACGCTGGAGTCTTCTCACTGTGAAAATCACAGTGAGAAGTGCGGAAGCCCTCTAGCGGCTGTCAATGAGACAGCTACTAGAGGCTGGATTAACCCATATGTAAACATAGCAGTTTCTCTGAAACTGCTATGTTTATAGAAAAAAGGGTTAAACCTAGCTGGACCAGGCACCCAGACCACTTCATTAAGCTGAAGTGGTCTGGGTGCCTAGAGTGGTCCTTTAGGTCTTCTGAGCTAAATCATGCAATTCAGTGGTTACCTCATTGACTGAGAGCATCAGCCAATATATAGTAGATTAAGAAACTGACAGTTACATAACTTCGTAGGTAATATTAAGTAACAGAGCACCTGATAACTCTGTTTTCTTTCTCCAGGATGTATCATTACATCTTCATGTTGGAGTCATGGCCAAATAATGAAATCCCTCCATTGCATTATTTTGGTCATTTAAATCCACATATTTTTGAGTTTTTAGCAATGTCTCCAAGATGAACAACAATTACTTGAAAATTACTTGATGGAATAGATTAGCAGCACACATATGGACAAATGACAAGAGTGCAAATTGATTTATTTGGACCTAACCACAACAATAGGAGTGTCTAATTTACGATCCTTTCAGAGGTATGGACAGTTTGCTCTTTGTGATATCTGTTGGCACACTGCAGCACCATAATGCAAGTGCTCACGGATTACTCGTGACACATTTACATTGTCTTTCAAGGTCTCACTCTTAGTCCCAATTGCCTGTCAGTATGCAATATTACTTCCAACCCTCTCAACTTTGAGAATCTGGGCTCTTTTAACTGCAAAGTGCATTATCATTATATTTAAATATTTGAAAGCATCTCTGGGTCTTCTATCATTTTTTTAGTCTCTTAGAATCCTGATTATTGGCTTTGATTGTTTGACAAACCTTGTATTTTATGTTCTTTGACTTGATATTTGACTGCCCTTGAGATCTTGGATCTGTCAATCTATTCAGTTAAAGTTTTCTACTTACGGGATATTTAATAGCAAATCAAATACAATTTATAAAGTCTATATCAAATAGAGAAATGTCGAAAATTAACAACAAACAAAATATGATAGCCCAGATTACATTTATTCAGAATCTTTAAAGGGAAAAAAATGGCGTTAGTTGAAAAGTCTTCATGTAAATCTTTTAGATTGAAAACTTATTTTGGCAAGGCACTCTTCACCTACTGTTCCCGTATGTAAAACATGTTTTGTAAGAATTGTTTGTCTTGTTTGCCTTTTTTACCTGTGCAGCACTGTGAAATATATTGGCACTATATAAATGACTGTAATTGTGTCACTGTGGTACGATTTGTTCTAGGAGGGCTGTCGAACTAGTTGTTCCACCAACTATTTGAAGAGTTTTCAGACAGTATGATTGGTAATCAGTTAATTTAAGGATCCAACAGGCTTGTTTTGATTTACATGAAATATTATTTTCTAACATTTACCTGGTTGTACTTATTGGTATTCTTCACTAGGTACCATTAATATTATTTACTTATTGTATTTTTTAGAACTGGTGGTATTTGTGATGTACTTTTGTTGCCTATGATTAGACACTTTAATGTGGTGTTTTAGAAAAGACAGCCCTCATTACTTATTTAATTATTGCTAATATATCTTTGCTATTAATATTTTGATTAAATGGATTTTGGTTTACAGTTTTGGTGCACCATGTTTTGTTGATTGCTTTTTTTTCTGTAATTTAATTACAAGGGGAACTGCCTATATTTGATTTTGTTGGATTACATACAAACATATTACATTTAATTAAGAGTAGTAAACATATTACTATTTTATTAGTAAGGTTCCGCTGCATCTCTTTAGCTTGACTGTAAATATTAAGCCATTCTCATCACCCCTACTCTGCAACAACATTAGTAACGTCATTCTAGCAGCAGAGGATATGTAGATGAATGGTAATACTGCATTTAGTACACTACAGAGATTACCAACAGGCTGCAATAACTGACTGCAATGCCCTATACAGTAAAGATTATTTGCATTTATGCACATACAAACCATATATTTATATTTAATTGACTTTTTAGTTTTTAGTTAGTTGCATTCACAGATATATTATCAGATTTCTTACAAACACACATAATGCAAGTTTTTTTCCTATTTGTGTTTATCTACCTTTGCCAGGCATCTTGTATGTAATTTGACAAAAAATGTATGTTTGCTTCTATGTGTATTTCGCACCTTATCTAAAAAAACAAGAAATA